CAGAAAATGATCAGAGCAACTCATCCACAGAGTATGCTAAGCTTAAACCATCTCATTCGCTCAACCGAAACTACCTTCTAAAGATAACCACCTGTATACAAATCACTTAAACTAAGTTTTACCGTTGGATGTTGCACTCTTTTGAAACATTCGCACTCTGAAATTGGGTCTTGTGAATGTCCCAACAAGTTTAAAAAGGGACTGTAAAATCAAATTGACATGGTCTCTCTTGCTCGTTTTAACATGGCAACTGCCTGCAGAACGTTAAAATGAGGATGGTCCAGTCTTTAACTAGGGCACCCGTATCAATCTTCATTCACTCAGTGGTTAGAGACGATTAACCGACCATCAACTCATACAACTAGACTGCCATTAATCGATCATTACCTGAGGGAACTCCATCACTTATACATCAAGTGTTCCCCAAATTTATCGGGTTACTATCCTTTATAATCCTCAATAAGTGTAACTGTTTCCAACAAAACTGTTTGTTTCGTAACTCTGTAACGTCTAACTCACAAAACATAAAAAGGAGTCATGAAAAATTGGTGCAATGTATTCTGCCAATTAAGTGTTTTCTCCAGTGTCATTCTTCTGTACTTTATAACTTTCGGTCCTTCGTTCCTTTGCAATAACCTACTTATATGCATGTGTGCTGATATAAAGACGATACGGCAGTGAATTTCCTCATATATCCATGTGCCTTGTGGTCTGCTGAGAAGTATTTCTCATTGAAGCTAGTAACCTGCAATATGCTTTATTGTTAAGAAACTCCACTGATGGATAAAATCTAAAAACTTACTTCAAACTGAGGCATACGCTGAAGATGTTGCCTAGTACGGCAATGAAAACTTCGGAAATAAACCATCCAGCTCAGATAACACAGTTACATCAGATTTGCCTCTTGCCGGGCATCTTCCAATGCTGAAAGAGCACAACACCTGCCGATCCTAGAGTGGCTTTATTTCAAATCTTCAGAGTAGTTCAGGGCTCGTACAAACTAGACTGGATGCTATATTAAGTATTCTCTTGAAAGGTCGCCTATTAAATATTGACATCTCTATGATGGAAAATCTCACTCAATAAGGTCCTCAAACTAGGCAAAGAGTCACCAGTCATCTTCACTGCGGATTGTGCACATATATGTTCAGTCATTAAGCACTGAACGAAACAAACGTCCGTAAATTCTATAATTCAGGCCCTAGCATCTTGCTGTAGGATTATGAAGGCAAGTGTGAGATAAACCGCAGCTGGTGTGTTGCAACGTGGCGTGTACTACGGACAAAATTAATGAGACATAGATTGGTAAGAAGTGACCAAATCACGGTCAGCATTTGAAGCCAGTCCTAGAGAGGTGGAAGTGCTTCTTCCTCAAATCTAGATCTAGTGTAAGTTGCAGTCAGAAAACTACCTTATTGGACAACTGATCATGTCACTGTTTAACTTCGGGCGAGTCGCTAACCAGTCGAACAGTCAGTTGTCTGCTGATGTGACCGTTTTTTAGTGTTGTAACAAACCCATAAATATGACATATTTGCCCTAATAACAAAGTCCGTTTTCAATTATCTCGTCTTTCGCCACTACAGCATTATATCGTCGACAAATCTCTAAGTGGGCTTTTCTTCATTCATCCGTATAATACCTTTTTTCAGCCAGAGCCACGAGATGGCAATATTACATTTAGTCAGCCTTTCTGTCTTCTAGTCCAATAACATCTTTAGCATCACCTTATTTAGCTTTCCGTCAAAACTTCACCTCATATGCCCGTCAAGGCTTCATGAAACGCTTTACAATTCAGCATGCTATGTTTTGAAGGATCTTCAAATCCAACATCTTACTAAACCATGTTACTCAAGCGAAGTCTGCGAGTGAAACCCAATACAGTACACATTAGTAATTCTGACCGTATCACTCTGATCTTCTGCCGACGAGCGAAAGCCAAGTCTATAACAGGAGTTGTAACTTCCAATAAATGGGAAACGTACTCTAAAATACACGACAACAGGAAATCAAGTAGGCGTTCGCCTACATTGACAAAGTCTCTATTTACTCTGCAGCACTGAAATGCAATGAAAAATGGGTTATACAACTCAGCAAGATAGATGAACCCTATAATCATCAGTACAAAAAACATAAACGTACTCTTCTCTAGGGTTAGAGAGAATAAATTGCAGGGGCTTGTGTGTGGATTTTTATCTTGCTCGACCTACTTTTTGGCAACGCTACCTGCTGACCCTATAGCCTGACTCATCTGAGTTGGTGTCCGGATTGTTCTTAACACCAGTCCAACTAGTAGAGGGAGGCTATAATACTGGCCTTTGTTCAAGGATCTTCTGGTTAGCGGTATTGTAAAGAATATTGATAGACAATCACAACCAAAGTGTCAACCGTGCCCTTCTCCTTAGAAAATCCAATTTTTCGCAGTGTAATTAAGTTAGCACATATAAAAAATCAATCTTTGGGGATGGGATGGGTGGGATTCAACTGAACTGACAAATTTCCTTTGTACTCGCCAGTAACACGATTTGGACAGTAATGATGCTCAGCCCAACCCTTCAACTTTCTGAAGATATAGATCCTAATACAATTCTCACGTTGGCAGACTGACTGGAAGTTTATTTAATTAACACGCAGCTCATTTTATTCACTCATCTTAGACCAATCAACATGACATCCTTGCGGAGAAATATACAAACCTCCATATCCCATTACTTTTTCTGAAAGACGGAAACATGAATACACCAGGGATTTTTCACTTCTTTATGTGCTTCTTACCTCTAACACTTATGAAAAGTCAGAAAGCTGCTTAATGCACCCAAGAGCAACCACACAGCAGTAATTGATCAATATCAGATGAAATTTAGGACGCCTGCAGAGATGAAGTGCTCTGAGAGGCTGTTTTCGCCTCAGAGCATTAGGATTAAGACAAATCACGAAGTCCTCAACTCACTTCTCGGCACAGACAGTCAAAATTGGCTGGGGTAGGAGGAACATTTGTGAAGCTAACTGCTGTGAGGATCTGCATCCAGCATGTCGCTTCATTTAATCCTTTTCAAACAATATTTTATAAACGATATGGGCTCGATATTTGGAATGTATAACGGTTTTATCCTTTTTAGATTACGCTACCATAAATATTATATTGTCACCACTGCCATGTACTGGTTGACAAGTTGGCGAATATATGCTCCTTCTCTCTCTATATGTTCTCTCGAGATCCGTGATCACCATGCTATTACAAGTAGTTTGATTTACTGTTAGTAAAATTATTGGTTAAGGATGAAAGCATACAAAACCCTAAAACAGATATTAAAGTTGTGCAACAAGGCTGACATAATCCATTGAAACAGACAGATGTATCATGCGACGCAGTTGCAGAATTCCTGTAGACACGTAGTACAAAATCAACGACGTGGGGAAATTCAAGTCGTAACTGACCACCTCTGTTTTTCCTAAACATATGTACTGTGACGAGAGCTTGGCGAATTTGATTTGCGATTACATATTTCATTGCCCGAATAATTTAAGCAAAATATATAAATGATTTGCGATGATGTTCGACCAAAAGTTGGTACAGTACACAACCTCAAATCTTGGTACGCCATCCGTCTGTGCCGAACGAAATGTTGTATTTTACCTCAAAGCAAACCAGACACTAAGAAGTAAGTAAAGCCTATTGAAATTCATCCATTTCTTTTTAAGTTGTCTACAGGACAGGACCCTGACAACATCTTTCAAGTGGAGACATATTAACTCTGTCTGCGCTTGGGCTCTCATTGTGAAAGGGACAGTAAGAAAATCTAGTAAGGCTTGCCTTGTTTTTGAGGAGATTTTCCATGACCTACTAGATTCAGCCCACGAGGCAAGGAAGGTTTTTGAACCACCATCAAAGGATTAACTTAAATATACCGACTCTCCGTTGGTGAGGGGTACATTCTTAAGAGACCCATTAAACTGCGGCGCAAGGTGGAGTCCTGTTGTATTTCGTTCCATGGTCCCCAACACACATGATATGAAAATCTGGGGGTGGCTTGAACAGAACAGCGATAAGGCTACCCTGCAAAGAAAGTTTAATAACCTGCCGAAGTGGCCACAATAGCGATCGTTGTCCACCTCTAAATCTGAATGCGTTGCCATCGGGAACAGAAATACGATTGTTGAATGGGACCTATTTAATTGGAGATGCTCACTAACTAGAGTGCTGTGGTTCCCTGGAACCTGTGGCGCAGTGACGTCCAATCGTGGCTCAGAGATCCAGAAAAATTTGCGTAGGATGTAGCACCACCTTTAGGATCACCAGGTATGTACTTACTATCAACGTGCATGTTGATGAGGTCCCGAATGAAAAATATCAAGTGCCTGTGAGATATGGGTGCATAGTAGGATACGTTTGAAGAGCGGAAACGCACACGGACGCACATGGTTAATCACATTACGGGTATCGATTAAAATAACGGAATTTCTTCTCATCTAACAGAAGGTAGGAGGGAACTAATCACAATAAGCAACATTTTAAGAAATGACTATGGAAATGGTGGATATTCTGTTAGCCTGTCAACTATGCCAAAACAATCCGGATGCTCTGTATGAACAGGGAAATTTCAAAGGAAACATGTGTTACTGTAAACTGCTGTCCTTTCAACCCCCCGCCCCCTGAAGTTAATAAATTAATTTTAATTAATTTTTGATTGCAGCTTGATTCCACACCGTATTTTTTGGTACAAGTATGGAATTTTCAGCATGTGATATCGGTAGCCCAAATTTTGCAGGCCGACCATAGATATCAGGTGTGCGTCGGAGGAATTACCTCGGAAAAGTGATTTTATAGTCACCAGTTGACTCGATGGAATGAGAATTAGTCAGGCACAAGTACTAAATTGAGAAGGATTAATATAAACTCCCCAAAAATGAAATTGAAGTGTCGAAATTTTCGAAGCGCTATTATCAAAATCTATGCGTTGTAAGCCGAATGTAGCGTGTTCTGTAGATTATTCACTTTACTGTCTAAATAACTGCGTTTTGTGAGGTATGTCGCATTCTCATTTTGCAATGTTCTATTCTCCCTTGTTTGAGGTGACTGATAGCATTTTCTGGTCAAATAGATTTTAGTTGTTACTTGGCAGGCAAACTTCATTTCGGATTTAATTTGACAAAATTAGGATTATTGGTTGGTACCATATTACTTAAAGTCGTCGTAACAGCTGTATGTGCATACAGACAGTGTTTCATGGCCTTAGTTAACACTCAAAGTTAACACAAGGCTCACTTATTAGAAATTGCCATTGGTAATAACATCAATACAAGCTCATCATTTCAATCACTAGTGCTTGATAGTCAAGAGGTAACTAAACATACAAGGTTCCATTTCTAGAGGTTCGGACATACGCGTGTGTTTAAACAGTAAGTAGCTAGGACTTTTCCTTCTACTCCGAAAGCAATATACTCTCATATGCTAATTTCTTTCCTAAAGTCGAATTTCTTTACTTGAATATCAGCATTTATGGATATGCTTTTATAACTGCGTCTTAATAGGAAATGGCAAACAGTCGTACTGTTATCGGGAAAGTTAGAGGAGATGCCCTGACGGTATCTAAATACCTTGACAAGATCAGACGTTAATTTTCACTTGAAAGGAGTGGGATCGCTACGAATTCATTAGATTTTATCTTGTTTACAACAAAACGCTTTGCTATCTACATGATTTACCCAGGAGGTGGAGATTACAGTAAAGTGTTCGACAATATAATGGCATTTATGGCACATTTATGCTTCTCATTGTAACATTCTTGTAGGTATGTTTGCCACATGAAGTAGTGGTTAGAAGAGTGAACTTTTATCTAATTGAGAGTGTAACCCCGCCTCTTAACTGGGCTGTTCAGCAGATAATGAAATAAGGTCAATAAAGTGGAAACAATAGTACGAGAAGTATAAAAATAGATTCAGATAATGAGATAATGGCCTGTGTTAATCCTTGCTATGTATATCTCTGCAGGGTTATATTGCCATTAAGATGATAATAAGATTCGAGTGAATTTTTCATTCGGTTCTTTATGTCATCTAAAGTTATGAACCACAGATTTTGATGCTCAGATGACCTACAGTACCCTACACGTCTCAGTTTGCAAAGCGATAACTTCCTAGATTGGTATGTGTTTGAATGGTCGCCCTCTAGTCTCCTCCGAACGATGATTAGAAAACCGTAAAAGATCAGTCTGAACTCCACGACTGTACACTAATTTAAGTTAGTAGGCTTGAAAAAAGCAAACATTGATGTAACCAGATGAATAATTAATTGATGGGTGGAGATTTTCAAGATTTGGAAGATACTAGGAATTGAATACACGCGCTTTTGTGAGTGACTTTGACCTGTTGCAAAGAATCTGCAATCATTGATTCTTAGCGTCCTGGGGTCCTGGACCAAAAAGTGTATACTCACTTTCTATGTAAAATTAAGTGTCAGTGACTTCATTATTAGAGTTATTTTTTAGCCTATTATAACCAGATTCTACTTCAACTAGTATTGCATGTTGAAGATGGTGGTGCGTTATTAGTAAGACATCTTGACATCTCAACTGATTTGGTTTCATATTCTCATTGACCAGTGTATTTAGTAGCTAGTCGATTATGATTGGAGCAAGGCACTTAGTCATTTCACACTATCCTTTTTGAAAAAGTTGACGCAGGCTAAATCTTGAGTGATGTTGAGGTGAACTGCACGCTAAACTTATTCAAATTTTTCAGCGGACATAGCATTTTGTTATTGTCTTCACCTAAAAGGACTAAATCAGTAAAATCATCTGGTAGCAAGTCGATTTCTGAGTCCCGAATCACATGCGTCAGTTAATACATTATGAAGTTAAATAAGAACAGTAAGGTTAGCCAATCCTGGTGGATACAACATGCTATTAAGAATCTTAGCTTTTGAGTAGCTTTATTAGCTTGAGGAGTCCGCCTTGACTAGCATAATGTGCCTTGTTAGCACTCACTTCATAATCAGATATTTCCATAAAAACTCTCAGTCGACTCAGTTAATTACCATTCCACCTCTCAGTATATTTGTGTCCCAAAATCTCTGAAAAGATCAGTTCGATCTTGTCCACAACTGACGTCTGTCCGACTCCTGTTTGAGTTACAATTAGTTTTAATGTTACCATAAACTGTAAGTTCTTAGATAACATATTGGTCAATCTGATCCTCATGTGGTTGAATGAATTATGAAATTTTTTCTCCTCAAAAATGGATGTTGTTTCTTGGATGAGTATGAAGAAACGGTCGCTTGTGAACCATACTTCACTTAGAATAGATCAGTACACCCATGTTTTGAGAACCGTACAGAACATTTTCCGAACTTTTTTCCTGGCTAACCACTACTACATAAATGTCTGGCCTTTCAATTTAGGTAGACAATCCCTCTCTTAACAACCAACCAGTCCAAGTTGAAATGCACAAAAGATGTCACGAGTTACCTAATCAGCAAAACATTGAAAGGTTTGGGCAGCATTCATGGGTTCCAAATGGTTGCAAACTGACTTGCACGATAAAACTAATCTGGTTGAAAAATATAGTTGTTCTAATAAAATTCATGTGTAATGGATGTTTGCTGTGCATTACTGTTAAAAACATATTTCCCACTGAATGGAAAACAAAAATGATTTTTTATCTACTTTTTAACACTGAATGCCAACAGCTTTCTGAAATTAATAACTAACCAGAATTTATAAAAATTCAGCTTATATATCGTAACTCAACTAAAGTTCCTTTGTATGAGGTAATTCTGTCTTGTAAAGTAAATGAATTGATAAGGGTAACATGTGTAAAGATTATCAGACTTGATAAACATATAAAATACGAAAACAGTATAAGTTCATATGATAAAAAAGGTTATCAAACTGGTCTTATGTTAATTCGTAGGCGTATTTGTTGAATTTTGTCTTAGCCATTCTTGTTCAAATAATTTGAATGCTTCTCTATACTAATTGATCATTCAAAGACTAGTTGCTCAAATTTCTTTTTCTTGTAGCTATGGAATTTTTTCACTGCCTAGTTCCTGTGCTCTATCTCCTACCGATATACTGGTGTGAAGTGTATAGTAATGTAGAGTGATAAACGCCCATAAGTCACTTGCCTTCAATTTTTGTCTTATATATATATATATATTCACATTTTCTTAGAAATGACATTTTCAAGCCATAGCTGTAGTCTAACCTTTAAACACTCGAAGTAATTAATCTTAAGACCAACGAAATTTGTGTATTTAAGTAATTTCTGAATTTCCTAATCGAGTTAAAACTACAGCCTCCAAAGCCTCAGGATGGTCGGGGGTGGGTGCCTTGCGCTGCGGGTTGGCCACTCCTCCGCACACCTCTTGAAATGCTCCCATATGACCAGGCGTCTTACATAGCCTCTCCTGAGGAAGTCCTACTCACTGCCTTCACGTGGCGGAGGTGTTTTTCACCAAAGTGAGAGGGCGAAAGCGGATGCCCGGCGCTCTTCACCGGGTTGACTGTCCATTGGATGACAGTCTAGGGGAGATAGCTAAACCCTGATTCCAAGCCTCCAATGACTGGCGTATGAAGCCCACTGGAGCTCACCGGCAGACGTATGGACAAAGGGCTTGTTGGATGTCCTGGATGTCTGGCCCCATTCAAAAAGGCGTATGAACCGAACTCCGGTCACCGGCTGCCAATGGATAGTGGACTCCCTACTCCACTCCTACTGCCTTGTAGGTCACACTTGGTTGTGTAAAGGCTAGAGCTGCACTCTCAAACAAAAGGCCGAGCGATTCTGAGGAGATCACTCGTACCAAATTCCCATGAAACTTCTTGAACTCTCTTCATCAGATCGCCGCGCCTGGGCAGCGATGATTCGAGATGTTCATGAAGCCGGCTCATCCTTCCGTAGGAGATAGCCGAAGTAAAGTAAAGTAAGTAAAAGTAAGTTAAAACTACATGACTAAATGTTTACTGAAGGAATAAAAATGGTTTTAAGTGAGACAGCAGCACAATTCCATGTCACCCTGTTTGTTGCATGCCCGTTTTACCTGGCTCCGCAATTGCCAATAAGCTTTCGCCTCCTCTTCACACGAACTCCACATCACCCTCGAACCCATGCCTAAGTCGTTGTTGCCAATTCGATTTCCATTTGAGAGTTTGGTGTGTGATTTCACTCAACAATCTCCTCAGCGTATTTCCAATTCATATCCATTTCTGTCTGCATATTTACTGGACGGTGGATTCTTGGTTGGTTCGTTACTAGAGTTCCTTGTCACTTATCCTTCCTGATCATCTGATATGCAGTGGTCTCTTTGATGTATCTCAGGATCTCCAAGTATCTAAACCACATAAAAGCACTGAATGACTTAATATGTGTTGAAAATTCGGATGTTGTTCCTTTTGCTGCGTTAAGCAGACTTCCACATTGATTCCAGATTAGCGAAGTTCTGTCTGTCTTGCTTTTGTGAGCCTACCTTTGACATTCCCATCCGTAGTAAACTATAATTATTATGATCAGTGTCTCATTTGTAGTAATCCAATTATAATTTAATTAGGTAAAAATCCTACAAAGGAAATAATTAAAGCATTCATTGTTTATCGTCTTGTCAGTTCCTAATATTACTTTTTCATCTTTTTGTTTTTTAGATTTTCTTTCGAATGAATTCTGTTATCACTATTAGTTCTTTGGGAATAAATTGTATTTAACACATTATGGATGGAAACACTAGTAGTCTCTCCATCCTATCAGATAAAGTAATTTCACTCATTTGTTGTTGTTGTTATTGATAATAATGGCGCAATAAATTAAACTTTTTCTTTGTATACCTTGTAAAATTGAACTAGTGTTCTTAAATATTGTTCTAAAGTGCTAGTTTTTTTTTCATTTCTTGCATTCCTGGTGAAACATATAGCTTCAAGCTATGAAGTTTCATTGACGGTGGAGCTGCTAGCCTTCTGTTTTTCGGACATTTCGGCTAGTAAACTAGACAAAGTGTAAGGAGTGTGTCAGCCGAGAACCGAAACCGGACCTCCAGGATGTATGGCAAGGATTGTACGATTGGACCACTGATGCACACGGAGTTTCAGTATAATTCATTAACTTTGTGTATATTCACATATTAGTTATGAGGCTGTAACTTATCCTTCTCACTTCTCATGTGTTCAAGTTCAAATGTGGCACTTTCTACCACTGCTCACATGACTGGACGGCATGTCATAACAAACGGCATAAAGCTGCAGAAGAAAACAAGTTGCCTTCAGATTTCATAGATAAATCTTAACTAATTTCACTGTAGACTTAATCGCGAATTGATATCAGTTGAAAAATCCCTAGAAATCATGGACAATTGGACAGTTGTTTCGTCCTAGCCTGGGACTCCTCAGCGTCGCAGATCGATGACCCTGCTAGAGGCCGAACTCTAGACCCTTGAATTACTAGGTGATTTCGTTGTGGCTGGTATCCCGGTTGGGATACAATAACCTCTTACCTAGCTTTGTATGAAAGTCCTTTGAATAGCTTACTTATGCTTTAAGTAGTGAAAAATCAACAGCATAGGTCCATAGTATTTCTTGGAGGTGTAGCCTATTGGCTTGTGCACTTTTACTTTCAACTTGCACTTACTTTCGAATACCACTCCACTTACTTCAGCCTAAGCAACTGAGTAGTATCATCAACCCCCACACAGTGATTTGTGTCGCCCATAGACGAGTACATGAGAAATCTGTTTTAGGTAATATAAGATAATGTATCGAGCTATGATGATAGGTAACAATACTATCCGGCCACGCAGGTGTCTGTATATAGTGTGGTGCTGTAATTATTAAGTTTTGGCCAACTGCATGGGTGCAGAAGGCTCGTTTGGCATATACCAACCAGTTTACGCCGTCTCTGGCTTAGTAGACGTGATATCCGGCTATCTACCAAAGGGCGGGTGTACTGCTCAGCAATTCGCTCCGTCCTCCTTTATGGCTGTGAGACCTGGCCATTGAGAGTGAAAGACATGAAAAAATTAGCTGTCTTCGATCATAGGTGTCTGCATTCTATCTCTCGTGTTAATTGGTATTACAAGATGAGCAATATTGAGGTGAGGCATCGGTTGAGAGTTAGGTAATGAGGCGAAGCCAATCAATAAGGTTGTGAAGTTGCACCAATTGAGATAGTTAGCACATGTGTTACGCATGCCTAGCCTAGCCGTCGTCTTCCTCGACGGGCGATGTTAGCTGACATAGGTTGGATCAGGTTAGAAAAGAGTTAGCTAGGAGTAGTTGAACTAAAACATCGCCTCATCAGTCAATGAAACCCACAACAGTTAGTTATAGATAGTAACATAGGGAGGTGTAGACTTACTGACTAGCTAGTTGGGGTCCTCAGGATGGTAAAAACCAATGAAGGCTGGGGACAATTGGTGATATGGCTCAAAATCGTTCTCAATGGCTGGCGAAGATGCATTCACTCTTTTTCATTTATCATGTCCAATAAAATTCTACTATTCTTCCATATTACTGTTCTTTCTGCCTCACATTTCTGTCAGTTATCTCTCTTTTGAGCCTCCCTTTACTCTCTTCTCCTGCTTTGTGTGCTACAAGGAGGTAGTGTGGCAAGTGGAAAGTTCTACGTTGAAACCAGTCCGTGGCCAACTGCCAAGTCTAAACCCTCACCAGTTAATTCATAATAATAGTGACAACCTATCTTGTACTGTCAGTGGTAAATATCAGTTGTAACAGTCAGTTTAGTTGGGTTTTTTTCTTACCTTTCATTTCTAGCTGGATATGCGGCTTTCAGGTTTGAAGATTTAGTAGCGGGGAGGTTGCTAACCTCTCCTCTCTCCAGGCTAACTAGGCGAGGTCTGAGAAGTGCTCTGCCTGTGAATGGAGTTCGGGCCACCTACATGGTTAAAATTTTTTATTCTAGGTTTTCGAACATTACTACTGAGTAAGGTGAATAACGACTGTGTAGTTTCTGTCACCCTAGTCAACATATGACGGTTTAACATTCACTAACTTAATCCCTAGACTGTTTTACCAATTAATTCCATGTTCTCAAAGCCTACTCATCTTTGTTACTTGTATACAGTGCACATCCTCGACTAGAATACACATATTAAAAGCTGTAAAAAAAATACGCTTTTCATCTTTTCTTGTCATAATTATCCAGTTGATATGCTTTTTTTCTTCTGTTTTTGTCTAATTTTTAGTATGCTTTCCTAAATCCGACTGAGGACCAATTTGTGCACTTAAAAACCTGTCTAGAAACAGAATTAGAAAATGGTCAGGGTGAATGCTTTTTGGAATTGGGTGTTGGAGGTAAGTTCATTGTTCTTAATTTCTTTTGAATGTCAGTACTCTTTACAAGTGGTCAAAATGAAGTATTTTATGACTTAGCAAGAGTATAGATATAGTGTCATTCGAGTACATTATAATATGACTAGGAGTTGGTCACCTTGACCAATGAACTACAGTTATCCATCGATTAATATTACACAATTACATTCAATTCTCTTGCTGTGTTTGCTGACAGTCTTAATGTAAACTTGTTTTTGTTTTTTTTAATGGACGACTTCTTCCTCCGTATCAATTCTGTCTTGGACTCTTTTGTTTTGGAGCTTTGCTATGAGCAGTGTTAAAAAAAAAATAGTCCATTGATTTGAGTTGTTAGTTTTCATGAACTAGTTTTCAGGGATTTGGTTTGTTTCAAGTTTGATCACAGATTGATATCAGTTAGAGAGTCGTTGAAGACCCTGAAGAAGTACTGGACAGCTGTTACTTCCCCCTAGTTTGTGACTCTTCAGCAGTACACACACCCATATAACTCCACTGAGGAGGATCTCGAACCTAGGACCTACAGGTTACCAGGCGAACTCGTACACTGGGACAGAATCCAATGATTGCCCTATGTTACCCTGACTTCTATCAATTCATGATTTTAGAAAAACAACTGCTAGTCAGGTGGTTATTGACGGAAGTTCTGTTGATGCATCATTGTTTGATAGGTAACAGAGCGCTGCATAGTTTTGAAAAGTGTTAGCATGAAATCAAAAGTAATATATACAAAATCAAGTAGACATATTTTGACTGTATGAAGTTATTGTCATTTTTACACATATCACTGATATGCCTTCCTCGAAAACAGTTAAACACTTTCATCGGGTGCGCTAACACAACCTGTTGGCTGGGACAAGGACTGTATAAATGAGGCGAAATCAGTTGCTAAAATCCATCAGTAGCCTCATGTGTAGTTTATTAGACAATCACATAGACTTTAAAAGCTGGTTGTGTGCACTATTGTAAGATATTTAGTTGATTGGTTGGAGAATTTCGTCATCAGCTGACATCGGTTAGAGAACCATTGGAAAACCAACCGGGAGTACTGTACAACTAGCTGTTTCGTCCTAGTTTGGAAGTACTTCGGAAGTACACACGGCTTCCCACTAGAACCCCAAGTAACTTCCTGAACAGGGCCAGTCTCTAGTGAGCATCAGAGCCCCGTGATCAGTGGGGTACAGCAGGTTGAAAGTGAGGATGCTTACATATCAAAGATATTGCTAAGTGGTCGCGCTATGTCGGTGGCACAGTGGTTAGGACTCTCGCCGACCATGCGCATGGTCCGGGGTTCGATATCTATGGTCGGCCTGCAAAATTTGAGCTACCGATATCCATGCTGAAAGTTCCATACTTGTACTGAAAATACGGTGTGGCATCAAGCTGTAATCAAAATATAAAAAAATATATAAATATATGTCGTGAACTGGCAGGAGTTGGAATTCATGGGCTGGCCACTGGATCGAGTCCCAGTGGCTTAATTAGTCTACGAGGTCGCTCGCCTTGTAACCAGGAGGTCTTGAGTTCAAACCCCTGTGGTGAGTGCGTATTCCTGAAACAGAGTCCCAAACTAGGCTGACGAAACAGCTAGTTGTCCAGTATTCCCAGCTGGTTTTCCAATGGTTTTGCTAACTGATGTCTGCTCATGATTAAATCCTCCAACCAATCAAACAAAATCCCTACAAACCAATACTTGAAGATATTTGTTCACTTATTAGAACTTAAATAATTGGAAAGACTATACATATCTACTCAAATGGCTCTTATATATATATATATATTTATCATGTTACCTTGGCGCCTCAGACGTTTATCAAACTCATTCAACAGCTGTATAGTGATGTCACATGTCAGGTGATTTGCAGCGGAAGGCACAGCAAATCCTCCGAAGTCAAGACAGCAGTAAGACAAATCTGCTTGCTATCGTTGATAGAATTCCTATTTTCGGTGGACTGGATCATGCGGCACACTGGGGAGAGAGAAGACAGCAGTAGGTTGAATTGACGAGAAGACTGTAGAATACCTAAACTTCTTGAACGATTTGTGTGTGTAATGTCACACGAACTTGAGAACCTACAAGTAAAAACCAACAAATTGGCAGAAGAAGCAGAGAAGGCAGAATTTTAAGTGAATATAGAGAAGATTCTAAACCAACAACAATAAACACCAATCACTGTCAACGGGACATAATTTGAAGGCCGTCCCTTGATTTACTTATCTCGACAACATCTTTTCACATTCAGGCAGTCGGTACAAATGAGGATCTCGAAGCCAGAAAGGATAGAAAAAGCCAGACAGGTATTCATTACTCTGAAATCTGTGTGTGGAAGTCTGTTGCACATTCAGGATAAAGATTAGGATACGAATTTTCATCACTAATGTCAAGTCACTACTTCTATATGATTTGGAGGCATTTCCAACAGACTGCAGACTTTTATTAAAAACTGACTTCTCCGTCTCTACAGACAGATATATGGCAAGTTGGGAAAGGAGATAAGCAACGAGGAACTCTGGAAACAAACTAACCCGAAACCCTATTGCCCAACAAATATGCACGCAGAAATGGAGATGTATTGGAAAATATGCTGAGAACGAGGTCTTTGAGTAGTGACATTGTGCTCCAGGCCAACAAGTCGGTCGTAGTCCCAAGAGTGTGACATGGAGGAGGTGAAAGCTTATGTGGGGGGGGGATCGTTCAGTCAGCTAAAGAGGAATTCAGAAAGCAGAGTGACATAAAGATGTGCCGTTAAAAGCCCTATGTTCGTTCCACTTGGAATCCAAGGGAATAATAATAATAATAAAAATAAAAGTGGGACGAGGGGAAAAAGGCCTTTCTTTTATTGATTTTTCTTTTGAACAGCTGTTTATTGAACATGAAGTGGTTTCCTCTTCCTCTTTCTCTCTAAAATTACTTTTAATTCGTCACCAATCCTTGTCCACATGACTAATTTCCTTATTTATCATATGATGATGACATAATCACCTGATCGCTTCACACCACTAGTCAGAAAGAATCATTTGATTTTTAAAATCAATAAAAAAATAATGATGTCATTCAATAAGCCTAAAATAATTAGATGTTTTGTCGTGTTCATTAAAAGTATGAAGGTGTCTAAGTTCGCCAAATTTCTTTTCAGATAAATAATTCGATTAATTTCTCTCTCTCTCTCTTCGTGTCTGTCTTTATCGTGGTGGTAGAACATGATTCGTAGATGAGTGTATGAAAGGACCGCGAATCACCATATATCACTGTACCTGTCTACAATTTCTTCATGGTTTTTTTACAAGACTCATTATTACTATTTCTCTTCAAGGTATAGTGGGCAGCTGTTTCATCGTAGTTTGTGACTCTTCATCACTACGCATCCATGAATGACCCCACTGCTAGGGATTGAACCCATAATCTTTATACTTAAAAACAATCACAAAATGCTTTACAAACTAATACTTGAAAATTAACCTGATGCCCATTAGTATGACTGACTGACTGACTGCAGAATGAATTTACCACCTGGAGTTCTAGTGAGAAGTTGTAACCCATTGGGGTGGTCCATCAAGTTTGGTGTATGAGTAAATACTCGCTGATGACATCGGCTTGTTGTGGCGCTAAAAAATCGCGAATTCATAGGAGTTATAATTCTTCATTGTGTCATCAGATTCCCTCCTGAAGGTGTTGGGTGAGATCAGATCCCTTGTAGAAGAGGGTGGTGATGGGTGCATACTGGGCGGAAAGAGCTATCCAGTACACTCCCTGCTGGTTTTCACTGGCTATCTAACTAGATATCAATTCGTGACTCAGCTTAAAACTATTATTTCTGTTTACTTATCATTCCATTTACTGATCTATGACTCCCTGTCCCTGTATTTTGAAGTAAATTTTTGAAAAACTAGTCTACTGTGTCTTCCTTATCCATTTGTCTTTGATAAAAAGACACAAGGTCAACGATGAATTGAATCGTGCTGTCCTATTTTACGTTTGACTAGCGAGAGAGGGAGAGAGAAAGTAGTTAGTCTATAAAAGTGAGAATAAATAGGCATTATCGATCCATTTTACTAACTGTGACCATATCGTATGACTTGATCAATTAATCTCACTATGCACTAATAGTTAGTTAGTAATGAGATATTGGGTTATTTTTATCAAATGACTACTTTTCTTGTTTAATCCTATTCTTCAGAGAATAAAATTTCTATGGTCAGAAGAAATAGGCTTGTAAATATCCCTTATATGAACGTATATATATATATGCGTTGGTGGCACAGCGGTACAATGCTCACCGACCACACATGTGGTCTGGGGTTTCATCCCCGGCCGACGCACTCCTTTGCCTCGCTAAGCCAGTAATAAGATTGGTAAAGAGGGAAGGTGGGGCATGAGGCTAGCAACCCCATACCGTAAAAATAGACACCAATGCTACCGAAACTTCAAACCTTACTTGAAGCCTGTATTCTACTGGAAACGTAAAGGAATAAAAATCTGATGCTCGCTAGTGACTTGCTACAGGTTGGAGTTTCCTGGAGTTAGTTCTAGTGAGAAGTCGTGACCAGTGAGGTCCAATCAGTCATGTGTGAGGATGGATTTCCCACCGATGACATTGGTTGGTGGTCGCGCTAAATCACGAATTGGTAGAAGTTAGAATTCTTGGGCTGACCACTGAATTGGGTCCCAGTGGCTGCATGGTTTACCAGATAGCTTGCCTTGTAACCGGGAAGTCCTGGGTTCAAACCGTGGCGGCGGGTGCATACTGCCTATGATTCCCAAACTAGGACGTAGGAAACAGCTGTCCAGTACTCCCTGGTTTTCAATGGTTCTCTAACTGATATCAAACTCGTAAAAAATATACATATATCTTAGAGATATCACAAATATGGTTGCCAGCTTAACAAACCCACCTGAATGCTCCGTTTTGGAGCTTTAAAAGTACATCGTGGATTGTTTCAAAAAGGAAAAAAAAAACCCAGTTCCGTGAACGGGTGTTTTTCATGTTCCAGGCTATGAGACACACTTATTCTATTAGAGCTGATTGATAGTGCTACCACTCAGTAGTTAACCAAGCGAAAGTAGTCAGGGCGGGATTCGAATTTCAGACCTATCGAGTTGAAATCAACTACTGCAGTTAATGAACCACATCTTGAATGTCGGCGTATAAATTCTGAGTATTTATTGTCTGGTTCCACCCTTTGGTTACTGTTTCAGATTCCTGCATTCACTGGACTGATTAATCAAGAATTTTTTGTTGATATGTTTATTCTGAGTGTTGTCTGTAGCTTGTGGAGTGAAACAAAATGCCACTCAGCAAGTTGAACGACACAATTTTAGCAGTTACATCGGGAGAACAGAAAGAAGGGCCTACGTCAGATTCTTCGAACATGTACCAAGGAGCTTCCGGTTACAGCGGCCAAGTAGTTTAATCTCTTCAATTACCAAACACCTAATAGACACACTGGACACCGAGTAGACGCGCTGGCATCATTCAAAATAATTAACAGACTAAAGAGCTCAGGTCTTCTTCGGTTTGCTGAGGCTATCGCAATAAAATGGTTGGAACCTGACCTATGTGTCCAAAAGGAATCTGTCGTTGGATTCCAATTACCCTGATGACTCATCCCTTAATAACTCTTGGTCTCCCAACTTCATTAACTTATCTTTTCAACGTGCCCCACCACCACCCTTCACCTCGTTTCTTCTTCTGTTTGACTTCCATAAGAGATAATTGTTCTTGACCTTATGAGTTCTACCCACCATATTACATCTTGTCAATTGATTTTCTAGGAACTTCTCTCTAACAAGATTCATGCATATGCATATATACATTTATATACTTACACTTCAGCTACCTTGTCATCCTGAAGTTTTACCTCATTCATGCGAATCTTGTCAATGCGCAGATTATTCTTCTGTAATCTTCATATTCTTCTACATACTTTCTTAATCTTGATTCTCTTCATCATTTTCTGTCTACCTTTCTGTGCTATTTGGAACGTGGCAACTCGAACTGCTGCACTTCGGTGCCAAGTTCTATGTTGAATCCAGACAGACAGACAGACCTCATTCACCATGACACTTCTAATATGCTTGCTGATGACAAATGTATGTTGAATTATACGCTGAATTTTATTGATTAAAGAGTGTAGGTTGTATGCAGCTGATGGATGAGGAGAACCAACGAAATAGAATGGATCCATGTTATTCTGCATCAATGTTTGTTCTTCTCTGCTCTTACAGTGTAATTTTTAAAACACAGTGTTGGAACATTGTGAGAACTAAAAGATGTTCCTACAGAATACCTCACATTTTGGGGGGATGAGTAGCGTGACGCATACTGCTGGCCAGACTGCAGGACTTGATTACCGTAAGGTGCCATCCCCACCTCAACCTGTTCACTTGAAGTCCGATTCAGAAGACAGTAGAGCAGCATCAGTAGCTGTGTTTCTTTGGTTTCCAGTACGCAAAATTGCTGTTCATACTTCATTCCTTCTCTTCGGATTTTTGAGCAAATGTATACCACTAAAGTTTTTAGAATCAAGGTTTTCTAGCTTCCCTTAGGTAGATCAGCATGTCCATATTCTCGATAGTTGCCGTTTTACTTTTGTGATGAACAACTTCTCCCCGACCACTGCATGGAGATTGTGGGTTCTGGGCTCGGATCTCTCACCTAGACAACTGTCTATAAGTTAGTGTTAATTTGGAGAAAACCAAAGGATAGATTGATCAAATAAGCGATAAAACTAATTGGTGTTATTGACTGTCTATGTTCTTGCACGTTTCCTAGTAGTTAGGGATAAAGTTCAACATTAGCGTCCCAAGGGATGCGAACGCACGAGTGACCTTCAGTCGATGAATCATAAAAATAAGTGACTTCCGCACAAAAAATGACGTATATTCGCAAGAAAATGCATGAAAACACATTAAACAGGGTATCTTTCTCTGACGTAACTTAAAAGTGTGTCCAAGTTATAATGTGGAGTATCAGTTGCTAAGTTAGACGAGTTTCTGTACATATATTCACCGAGGTGACTAAAGATGAGCTTTTACTGAGACCTGTTCATCGCTCTTATCCTCTTTTGCAGTTTTCCCCAAAAGCCCTCGGTTGAATTACTATGGTTTCCAGTAAGAGGATCGACGACTACTTACCCAGGAAAATGTGGATAATAAAACAAATTAAAATAAATGTCATCAACTCTAAATCTATCCATAATCGTAACTCTAACCTTAATCCTGACCCTAACACTAACCCTAATCATAACCCTTCTCCAAACCGTAAGCCTAACCCTAATCCTAGTTATGATCCTGATCCTAACCCTAACAAGCTATTAACACATTTTCCAAACAGTATTTAAAGACGTGATCTGAGTGAAATTTACTGCTTAGTTGGTGAATAGCATTGATATTTCAGCTATGATAATGACAGGCGCCGTCAGCCAGCGACTAGCATGCTTTCAAGGTCATTGGAGCGTTCGCACTCCTGGGACGCTATTGTTGAACTTCGCCTAGTTAGGTTCCATGATGTTGTATGAATCATGCTCACTTAAAAAGTGATCACATTATAGCACAGATGTGTTCACCTTTCTATTTCGTGAAATTTTAATATCATAGTGCTCTTCAATGTGTTTTTTACCCCCTTTCTGCTGATGTTGTTCACTTACATTACTTCGGTATGTGAATACTGTTATGTCGAAGTGTCTGTCTTCAAGCTGTATAATGAATCCTCGGTAGTAATATTATTATTATTATTGTTATAATTACTTTTGTTTGGTTAATGATTATAGATGCACAATGTCCTGGTCTCACTCTACAAGAAATGGATCAATGCGTATGTACAGCCGATCGACTTGCTGAATGTTTATCCTCTCATTTAATTCATTTACGTGATCGATGGATAACATCTGGATCTGGAGCAACAGTTTCAACGACAACTGCAAATACAACAACAACAACAACTACACCAACAAAGCCGTCAACTGTTTCAAATAATCATACCTCACCAAGAGGTAAAATCAATAATGATGTAAATATGAATGATGATCATGATGTTGTTGAAAATCGTCGGTTGAAAAAAGATAAAGAAGAAAACAGTACAAAGTCGAAGAATATTGCGTCTAGTCAACAGTCATCAAGTGAAGAGGTGAATACCGCTGCTCCGTCTTCTGTGGTTAGCAGTACTAATACCGCAACAACAGGTGGTTGTCTAGTTAAAGAATATCTCTTGAGGAAGAAAACTGCCTCAGATGACTTTGTAGATGTTCGGTATGTATTGTTCATTATTATTATTATTATTATTATTATTATTATTATTATTATTGTTATTATTATCTTTGTTTCCTCGACTTTTAATGAGTTAGTTGGGGTTCTAATATAGTAATCCCCTCAGAAACTTGCAGTGAATAGGGAAAATACAGTGTCAACAGCAGTTATTTGAGGATGTTTGTTTGAGAAACATTTGATTACTGGCTGAGATACTGCCTGGACACTCAGATTGAAGTAGGTGGGGTTGCCGTAATTGACCACCCCCACTCCCTTCCAAGCCTTTTTACTTGGAGTGTTATCCACAAGGCAGTAGGAACACAGAGTCAGGAGCCACATTCTCAGGGTCGACGGTGACCGACACAAGTTCATACTTCATTCGATGAGTTCAGATTCGGGAGTTGATTTACCCTATTGGTTTGGAATTAGGTTTTTCCAGCTCCCCTAAGTCGATCTGGATGTCTTCCACCAGTTGGGTTGTAAGCGCTAGATTATTGCATTTGTCCTCGCACCTTTTTTTTAGCAATACCCCCTACTGTGTGAAGTCAATGAATAGGAGGCAGAGGCTATGAATGCATGGTTACATGAGAGCATGTCGAGAGGAAGATCGAAGTCTACTCTTTTCCCCTGGCCGTAACAGACCGTTTATGAGAACATACTTTGTGATTCTATTTTATGTACTAATATGTATGGTCTTTTGTTGTGAAAAATTCTGTGTCACAATATCTGAGCATAGGAGACAGTGTATTAATTGACGAAAAGGAGTATTCCTCTTGACAGAGTCCAGCGGTAGAAGGAACACTCGCCGACCACGCACATTGTCCAGGGATCGATCCCCGGCCGACGGACGCACTCCTAAACCCCTCATAGCCGGTGGTAAGCTTGGCAGAGAGGTGAAGTTGACTATGCAAAAAAAGCACCACTGCTACTGAAACTTTAAAGTTCAAGCTTGTTCCACTTGATACGCAAGGCAATAAAGTAATTAAACAATCTTAAACAGTCAGCTGGCTGAATCTGCGATTAATGGTACACGCATATGCGTCCATGTTCGGCATTGTCTAGTCACATTTTAATTTATTACTAATTAATATGTGACGCTTAAATAAACATATACGATATGACCGAGTGAGCGTAATGAAGCACTTCAACCACTATCCCTCAATACCTGTTTCCCTGAGCCATAAACATATCAGAAGACAAAGACTGTGATTGACTGACTGACTGTAAGGGAGAGTTTATCTGGCAAAATAATACATCTTGATGTAGTTGTGTTCTCTGAGCTAGCTGGATGGTTTATTTGCGAAGCTTTCATTACCACCCTACTAGGCAACTTCTTCAGTGCATACTTCAATTTGAATTAAAGTGAGCTTTTAAATTTCTCCACGAGTTTATAAGTCATCTCCCCTGGTAACCTTGAACGTGATTGGTTGCCTTTGTGTGTTTTCATACCCTCTTGGGTACTTGTATTGGTACTGACTGTTTCCTTGACCTGAAGTTTGACCTTTTGTGTACGAGATTTCCTTCTTAGCGATTGGTAAATTTTGTCTTTGTCAGTGTGTCTACTAACTGACGATTCACTGGAATACCAGGCTTCTAAAAATTCCCTGGCATTCTTGATGTTTCCTCTGTCTAATATTTCAACGTTGTCCCAGTCGAATTGATGTCCGTGGTTGTCTGTATGCAGTGAGGCGATATGAGGGAGCGGATGTTATGCCTTTTGACGGCTAGTTTATGATCATGGATACGAAGACGAAGAGGACGTCCACACTGGTCATCGCCTTCCTCGAAGAGCAATGTTAGCTGATGGAAGATTAGGCTGGAAAAGAGTTAGTGGTGTTGCCTCTTCGTTTTGGAGTGAGGCGGGGTTGGAAAAGGTTGACCCCCAAAATTGCACATTCTGACTCGTCTCTCACGGTGGTCGGTAGCCGGGGGGGGGGAGCGGGTAAGATCTCTATGCAGATACAACTCCAAAAATAACTTTAAACAGGTTGTATATGTATGTATCCGTCCTCAGGCAGTTGTCCCCAGGACTCTGTGGTCAAGCAGGTACTCCAAGAATAATTTTTTAAAAAAGCAACTGTCATAGTGTATGGGCAGCTGGGAGGTAATAACCGCCGACACACACTTCACACACCTTCCCTGGTCCGTTACTCACCTTCATTGTTTTGTTCTCCTCTCACTGTTAATAGTATTACTACAGGTCGGTTCCTCACCATCTTTTAACTCTGCTGAGACCATATTTGTGTAATCTCTATTCCTGTTTTTCCTTCTTTTTACCTTTTTTCTCATAAACACAGTGTGGCGGTTGTAGGTAATGTTGATGCAGGGAAATCTACACTACTTGGTGTATTAACACATGGTGAATTGGATAATGGTCGTGGTTTGGCACGTCTACGTCTACTACGTCATAAACATGAAGCTGAAACTGGACGTACTAGTTCAGTGGCACATGATATACTTGGCTTTAATTCTGTTGGTCAAGTGGTTAATAAACCAATGCATGGTCATTTAAATTGGTCTGAGATATGCGAAGCTTCAGCTAAAGTAAGTCTGACAGTACTAACTGCCTGACAACTAACTAAACGTTCTCTTTGATGACTGTAGTTTTAATGGTATGTGTGATATTTAACGTTTGGGGAAGGTATTTAGGTCTTGTGGATTAATTTCATTGTTTAAAACTGGATATCACGGTTTGACTAGTTTCTGAACTTAACGTCAGTGTCATATTCAAAGATCTCTGAGGCTTTCATCTGGTGCAGTAATTATTCTACGTTAGTGATATGTAGTCACATGATGTCTGCTTTGTATGGACACTGGTATATTTTACTTACACATAGTAAAATATTGATCGTTATTCCATTAAAACTCACAATATGTTTTGTCTGTCTATTAACTAAATAACAATGTATGTATGACCTTTGTCACATGACATTACAACCAATCAGAATCCAATGGTGGTGGTGGTTCATGTATGTTAGTCATTTTCATACATACTTTTGTATTGTACAGTTGATACACACTTTCGTACTTGGGTACTTTTCCACTCACACTCTTGTGTGACAGTTAATTTTCCTTGTTGGAAAATACGCATATCTTCGTGAACGTGGTGGTCTTCTGATTTGCCTCTTCGCGTCAGGACAAATTAACTACTCAGCAATACCAGTCTGTACGTTATCGTCCGTTATATCTCATTAGCGCATATTTATACTCAGTCACACCATAATATCGGCAACGACCCCATAACTTATTGGCGACGAGTACATAACAGTTAGACAGCACATTATTTTGCTTATATGTGGCATGGATGATGTGATGTCAAAGCCAGCCAGGATCGGGTCGGGGTCAGGATTTTCAAGACTAATGTTGCAGAAGAAGCAGCCTCCGAAGGCAGGACTTCAAGAGAACATAGAGCAGACAGAGGTGATGAAGATAACCAACGCGGATGACGACGAGAACAACAAGCACGGATCACTATCAACGGAATAAATTTGAAGGCGGTGACTTCTTTCACTTATGTAGTCAGCATCGTCTCAACTTCAGGCTCTGGAAGGAATGAGCATGTCAAAACCAGAGAGTCGGTAAGGCAAGACAGACCTTCGGCACTCTGAAATCAGTGTGGAAACCCCGATGCACTCAGCATTAAGAATAAAATTCAGCTTTTCAACACCAATGTTAAATCAGTTACTTCTATTTATATAGGTCAGAAACTTGGCACATCACAAACAGCATTTCGAATAGGCCTCAGACTTTTGTTAACAGCTGCTTTCGCTCCATACTGAAGATAAGACTGCTGGGCAGAAAGAATTAGCAACAAACCAACCATTCTGAGGAGATCGTTGGGTGACGTTCCACGCCAGGCATAATCTCGAGTGCGAACCGAATGGGAAATGACGAGTTGGTCTTAATTGCCAAGGTGATACGGAAAAGATGAAAGCTTATGGACAATCGTGGGACAGCAGAGGGCAGGATAAAATGGAGATGTGATGTCGAAGCACAATGTTCCACTTGGAACCGAATGGAGATAACAATAATAATGTCAGGACTTCTATATGATTCAGGAATTTGGCGCGAGTGTCTCATGAAGTTTTTCCAGCTAGCCACTGTAGACCTTTCTCATCAACACCTGCCCTTTCTCTCGATAATGAGGATCAGATGGCAGGCCAGAAAGAATAAACAACAAGAAGCTCTGGTAATGAGGGAACCTGCTTAATAAATATGAAGAAGAAAGTGGGGACGGATTGTTTATACACTGAGAAGACATCCAAGCAACATTACACGTCAGTACTCCGAGCTGAACTCTGTTGGGAAGCGTAGATTTGGCTGTGGATCCGAGGATTACATGAAAAAAGTCATATGAAAGCTTATAAGTAGCTGTGAAGCAATTTGAAGGTGATGACAGAGATCCGAGGGGATTGGGAATGTGCTGCTGTAACTTTGTGCTCCAAACGAAACTAATTCATCGTTTGTTCGACATTCTAATAGTCAACGATGGAATCTTCAACTCCCTTAATCTTACCTAATGTTGTGTTATGAAAAAGATTGATTAAGTTTGGCGTCATTTTCTTAGTGAACCATCTGTTTTCTCTCTCAGGATTTCATTATGAGAGCTGATATCGATTAGAGAACCATTGGAAAACCACCTGGGAGTACTGGACGGCTGTTTCATCCTAGTTTGGGACTATTCGGCAGTATTCACCCACCACCAGGGTTCGAATCCAGGACCTTCTGGTTACAAGGCAAGCGATCTCATAGACCATTAAGCCGCTGAGACCCGATTCAATGGCGCTAGCCCATGAATTCCAGCTTCTGCCAATTCACGATATAGCGCGACTGGCACTAGCCAATGTCATCAGTGAGATGAGTATTTGTCCTCACATCTGATCTCTCTATTTCCCAAGACAACATGTTGCAATGTATCTAAGGTGGTCCACCAACTAAAGTGTAACGTTAATCATCTGATTGATACTAAGTTTCCTTCACTGGCTATTTGTTTTATTGTCATATTTCTTTTCTTTGTATTATATATATACACTTATTCAACAGGTGATCACATTCATTGATCTAGCTGGTCATGAACGATACTTAAAGACAACTATCTTCGGTATGACTGGACATGCTCCCGATTATGTAATGTTTATGGTTGGTGCAAATGCAGGTGTTATTGGTATGGCTAAAGAACACTTGGGTTTAGCACTGGCTCTTTGTGTACCAGTATTTGTTGTTGTCACAAAAATTGACATGTGTCCACCGAATGTACTACACGAGACAATGAATTTATTATTTCGTATATTGAAATCACCTGGTTGTAGAAAGATACCAGCGTTGATATCTTCAACGTGAGTAATAGTATATTCCTGTCGTTAGTTAAACTGTTTTTTTTTTTTAATTTTCGCCTTTTCGTTATGTTATAAATAAGGAATTGGTATCTCATATGTGTTGAAGTTGTTGCTCGATTGTCTTTCGGCTTTCAGCCAATCGGGTGTTCACGACTTCGAGTTCCACTCTACGTGTTTCAGCTTGATCATCTAAGGAGAGAGACAGAGGTATCATCTTAGCCTTCACACAATAAGTGTGCCCTGATAGCTCGGTAATTGATGAAAGGTGCATTATGGAGTGATTGAGCTCAAACAACTGTTTGATCAGCAGATATATATATATATATACATATCGATCCCTAAACAGACTGACACTGTGTGACCTAGGGTTAAATTTTATTTTTGACGTTGTCATCCTTTCTGTTGTTAATTTACAATGGGCTGATTTGGATTTCCCTGATGATTTATGTCGTTTAATGTCACACACAGACTCCAAGACTTGCAGGCGAAGAGCAACAAACTGGCTGAAGAAGCAGTCGGCGAAGACAGGTGAACATAGAGAAGACGGAGGTGATGAAGATAACCAACGAACAGTGAAAACAACAACAACAACCAGCAGCAATCACCATCAACGGGAGAGATTTAACAGAGGTTGCTTCGTTCACTTATCTAGGAAGCATCGTTTCAACCACAGACAGACGGAACGTATGAAGACGTCAAAGCCAGCCGGAATCGGAGAGGCAAGGTACACTTTCATCAATCTGAAATTGGTTTGGAAATCTTCTGCACTCACTCCACAGCATAAAGAACAATGTTCGGATTTTCAACACTAATGTCAAATAGTCGGTCAGAGTATCTATATTGTTCAGAGACAGGCTAAGCATTGCCAACAGACTGTAGACTTTCATCAACAACTGCTTTCGCCTTATAATGAAGACTAGATGGCCAGAAAGAATAAACAACAGGGAACTTAAAGAACAAACCAACGAAGAACCTATTGCCCAACAAATGTGCAGAAGGAAAATGAGATGGATCGGACACACGGTGAGAAGAACTGTTGAGTGAAATCGTGCACCAGACAAACCCTCGAATGGAACCTGAATGAGAACCGACGAGTTGGTTATAGCTCCTAGGGTGACGTGGAGAAGATTGTATGAGATTGAGATAAGGACCTCAACCAGACTATTCGACAATGAATAACTTTTTATCAGAAATTAGTCAGTGGTCCTCGTCAAACGGTATTAAGCTTAATCCCTCCATATATCAGGTAGTCAATTTCACTTTCAGATGCAAGCGCGACTGACGTGAACTGGTTAGTTTGCACGGTTCCACTATCATAGATGACAGTGAAGCTGGAACTAAAGCGAATGTTAAATACCTTGGACTGTGTATTTCCTCTGATCACCTTTCCTGGTCTCTCCACATCATGTTAGTTTCCAGAAAGATATTTCGTTTGACGTTCGATGTGAGGAAGTTAAGACGATCTGGTATCACTCCTCTATTGTTACCGTTTGCTAGTTCTTGTATTCTGCCTATGCCTCTTTACTGTTCCCCCTTAATCTTTTACGGGCTACTTAAGAAACACTTTGTTATACTGCGTAGGACACTAAAAGCCATGAGTAAGGCGAGTGGTGGTGTCGCTAAGCTAAACCAACTCGTTAATGCTATTGTAGATAGACACATGGACTCCTGCAAAAAATTAGCAAATATTATCCTGTCAGGCACTGAACATCCTCTCTATACACCACTCTCTCCTTGTATCTATCTCATCAAGTATGTGAACTATAAGCAACTATAGAAGACTGCATACCCGGACGATTAAGTACAAAAACCCTACGATACCTTATTTAGCACACATTTCATGTGATGAAAAAGGTGTAAGACAGGAAACTACCAACTAACTGAGGAACTCTAAGTAAATGGCTCCACTGTATTTTGTTCTCATTATTACATTGTCACTAATATTTTCATTTGATTTAATTGTATATTCACTTCTTATTGAACAATATTATTAATGTAAATGCCCTATTTTAATTATTGCCTCTGTAATGAGGAATTTAGATGCAACATTGTATTACATGCTGAAAATTCCATATTTTTTTTCACCAAAAGTACTGTTTGGTATAAAGCTATTGTCATTATTACACCTCCCTATGTGGCTTGTTCAATCCTACTGTCAAAGACATCTTGAACTGATGCGAGTTTTTGGTTTGACTACCCCGAACTCTTTTTCAATCGAATCCTATGTCAGTTAACATTGCCCTTCGAGGACGGTGATGCTTAGTTATGCATAATGCACGTTGCAGCCATCTCAGTAGATGTAACTTCACAACCTCATTTATTCACTTCCCCTCCTTACCTAACACTCGACGCCTAATTGATATAAGAATAGAACTTGTGCACTGGGGTAGAGTATAACTTCATTATGGATAAGATTTTATTTTGATAAATCAAACAGTGTTGTACAGTAATATTTACTGATGACCACGTTTCGAGCACAAATTATTACTCATAATCATATCAAGTAACGCACACATGTCTAATCATCAGTTTTTACTCATGTATATAAATGAAGCGAAACGTTGTTTGAGTGACTTGATATGATTATGAGCAGCAATAGTTTTTGTGCTCGAAACGTGGTCATCAGTTAATATTACTGTACAACACTGTGATTTATCAAAATAAAATCTTATCCATAATGGAGTTATACTCGCCGCCTAACCTCAGTATTGCTCACCATAATATACCACTTAACACGGGAGATCAAACACAAGCATTTTCACTTCTTCTTTCACTTTCAATGGCCATGCCTTACAGCCGTAATGAGAAATGCAGCGAACTGCTAAGCATTACACACGGCCTTTGGTCGACAGCTGGATATCACATCTACGCCAGTAATGATATATAAGTTGGCAAATTTCTGCACGTGGCTTTTGTATCCTTGGTGAGATTTCGTCATCAATGAGTCAGTCAGTCAGTCAGTGTATTAGGGCTGATGAAACCTCCACAATAAGTGAATAGTTTAATACGATCAACCATTCTTCACTCACTCCTTATCTGTAAGCTAAGAGTTGGTGCACAGTCCAGACCTGCAACATCATCAGCCTATGTCGGACAAGAATGAATAGCATGCTAAACATTTGAAGATTTCTGCTCAAGGTGTTCATAAGACTCAGCATTTTATCAGCGTTTTTACCCAAGGAGAACAATATATTATCTGCATCCTCTAAGTTGATGAGACTGTTCTCCGGCGTTTAGTCAATCCCTGAGTCGTTCGAATCAATCAGTTAGGGTCAATTCCATTACTGTACATCTGTGCTGGAATTAAACGTCTTTTGATGTTTTTTATTTTTAATTTTTAACTTACTTTTTTGTACATTCCTGTGTCTCATTCTTTGTTTCTATCTCTGCTAAACATTCATGTTCACCGAAAACACGTGAACACAAACGACGATCGACAACAACCACAGTGATGACGTGATTTGTTGTGCAACAAATTTCACCTCAGAACGTATGTGTCCAATATTCCCTGTTTCAAATGTCAATGGAACAAATTTAGACTTATTGAAATTATTTCTCAATCTCTTACCATCACGTTCTGAGCCACGATTGAATGAACCAGCACATTTTCAAGTAGATGAAATATTTTCAGTTCAAGGTGTTGGTACAGTGATATCTGGCACTTGCCTGTCTGGTGTTATACGCTTGAATGATACCCTATTACTTGGTCCAGATTTATCCGGGCAATTTAATCCTGTATCAATTAAAAGTATTCAACGGAAACGTTTATCAGTGAATTATGTTCGTGGTGGTCAGACGGCGTCGTTTGCTTTGAAGAAGTTACGACGTAATCAAGTCAGAAAGGTAGGTAGGTAGGTGATGGTGTGGTGTAGTGTGGTGTCCACACCTGTTTCTTGTCTCTTATAATCTGCTACTAGTGGGTGTAACAGTGGTATCCAGCTCGTGAGTTCCGTCTTATTTAGGACTCGTTAGCTGGATATACCTGCATAACATTCAACTTTGAAGCCCAGCACTCATCAATCTCTAGGGGACGTTGTTGGTACCAGATAGGAGATGGCATGTTAACACATAGACCGAGCGTTTTGATTCAACACCAAGTTAATCAACACCAGATTTAAAATGATAATTTCAATAAATTTTCAGTTCTTTAACTGATTTCAGCTCATGATGAAATCCTCCAAGCAATCAAACAAAAATCCCTACAAAACCAATACTTAAAAATCAATCTGATGCTCACTAGCTACTGGCGCTATTCAGGCAGTTACTTGGGGTTCTAGTGGGAAGCCGTGACCAGTAGGGTACAGCAGGTTGAAGATGAGAACGAATACTCGCCACTCATCGCGCTATATCATGAATTGGCAGAAGTTGGAATTCATCGGCTGGTCATTGGATTGGGTCCCAGTGGCTTAATGGTCTATCAGATCGCTCGCCTTGTAACCAGAAGGTTCTGGATTCAGACCCCTGTGGTGGGTGCGTGCTGTTGAGACGAAGTCCCAAACTAGGCTGATGAAGCGAAGACTAAGTTTGTTTATTGTATTTTTCTTGTGTTTTAAGGTTTCCGCCACAGGTGGATTGATTTTACGGGGTAGGGTTGCTAACCTCACGCCCAACCTTTTCTCTTTTCCTGGACTTGGGACAGGCTAGAAAACTAGTAAACTAGGCAAGGTGTAGCACTGTGAAACAGTCATACATGGATGCTTTCAGCCACAGTGACAAGGTGCTCAAGGATGAAACTGTTGGTATTCTTCTCTACTCCTCTGACTAACCAGACTGGATAGTGTTGAAAAATGCATTTACGGACTTGACACTGTGTATGGCTAATATATATACTTTGCTCTACAGAAATAAGTATTTTATTTATTTAAACACAAAGACTTGGTACAATATGGCACCAAGACGATACGCCACACAATAATAATAATTAAAAAAAACATGAGATAAAAAGTGAAAATATAGGTAGAGAACGGAAAAATTACTTCATCTGGAAGGAGAGCTGTCATATTTAACAAGTTCAAACAGTATTCGTCAGTTATTGTCGGAAAGGGAAGAAAGAAGAAAATTGCAGCACGTTTGCCATCGATGATTACTATTCTTTGCCATATCCGATAACATGTCGAGCTATCTCTCGGACGCGAACTGGGGAGTCGTGAAGTACCAACCAATGCCAACCTAATACAAACATCCTTCACCCTCTCAGGACTAGAGAACAAAGATCTGTACGGAAGCCTCTAGGATGACATTCACAGCACATGTTGAAGCCTGTGAATCCGGTGTTTCCTGATGACGACAATCAACTAATAGCGATCTTTGTGTTCAAACACTCGCCGCCGATGATGCTATCGAACGCAGGCAATCTGAACGGAGACAGCGACAGTCGGACGTTGCCTAAATAATATGAAAACTTCCTTAATTAAATGTTGATACATTGATGCATCCAATCATTGCGTCGATGGTACAGAGGTTAGGACGCTCACCAACCATGCACATGATCCGGGGTTCGATCCTCGGCCACCGACGCACTCCTTTACCTCGCTAAGCCAGTAATGAAAAGCTGATAAAGAGGAGGTTGGGCATGAGGTTAGCAACCTCATCCTCTAAAAATAAAACATTGCTATAGAAACTTCAAGCCTCTAGCTTGAAGCCCTATGTTCCACTGGGAACGTGAAGGAATGAAAACAAAGTCTTGGGAACCTACTACATCAGGTCAAGCATTTGACTTTTAGTCAGTAGGGCTGTTAATGCCGTCATCTTACGTGCAATCAGGTATTGAATACCATTAGTCTTTCAGGTTATTGATAATAATATTGTATGAGATCATGCAAAAGACTACATTTGTTAGATGGTTAGAGACAATCGACAGGAAGCTTGGATCCTAGGTTTCGCGCTTTGTTGGCACTCATCAGTCAGCAAGACGTATCTGCAGTCATGAAGGGACGACTCGTAGCCCTCCTCACAGATTCAAACCCAGTGCTTCAATCAGTAATGTATTCCTGCATAATTGCAGATATGCCTTGCTGACTGATGAGTGCTAACAAGTACGAAACCTAAAAGTCCTGGCAAGACTTCCTGCCGACTGCCTCCAGCCATCTAATAACAACAATTCAAAGTGCATCGTGATAGCGAGCTGCCTTATCTCATGGTGGTGTATCCACATTGCAAACTTGACTGTGATATAATTCAGTCTATAACAAGTAAATGACCAGGCACACGATATTGGTTACACTATCCTAGTGTCTAATCAAACAGCCTACACAGTGTTTAAATATGAGCCTGCAAAAAGGATTGTGTTTTCTTGGATTATATATATATATATATATATATATATAATTTTTATAATGGCGTTTTTGAACTTCCTCTAACTGTCATTCCACTTTCATTTGCATTCAATAATAATGAAATTAAAACTCCATATACATTGGTCTATATCTAGGGTATGGTGTTATTGGCTCCAGAATTGAAACCGAAAGCGTGTATTGAATTCATTGCTGAAGTATTGATATTACATCATCCAACTACTATATCTGTTGGTTATCAAGCTATGGTACACGCTGGTCCTGTACGTCAAACAGCTACTATATTAAAGCTGAATACACATGAACGTCTGCGTACTGGAGATAAAGATATGGTTGTTTTTCGATTTATCAAGTGTCCAGAATTCTTGTACACAGGTCTACGCTTAATATTTCGTGAAGGGAAAACAAAAGCTGTGGGTAAGTTGAAAGAAGTGGGTGTTTTAGTTTGGTTTCATGACTCTGTATGTATGTATGTGTGTGTGTGTGTTATTTTCTAATGAATTGCCAGTCAGTCATTCATCAGTGTGGTATTATAGCCTATCACAAACTGACAGACTAACCTGTCTTGAAATGTGCACACCTCGTTGAATGAAGTTAATTTTGTTTTTTATTCCTTTGCATTCCGAGTGGAGCACACGGCTTCAAGGTTTTCAGCGTTAAAGTTCCAGTAGCATTGGTGTTTCTTTTCAATACGGGATCGGGTTACTAGCCTCACTCACGCCCAACCTTCACTCTTTAGAGCACTTACATACCAGTCGCCGTTTCTGGCTGTCGACCATATGGCGTGTATACTGCTCAGCAGTCCGCTTCGTCCTCCTTTATGGCTTGCTGTGAGACATGGCCATTGAAAGCGGAAGACATGAAAAGACCAGCTGTCAGAGTTTTATCTCTCGTGTTAGGTGGTATAATAGGGTGAGTAATATTGAGGTTAGGCTTCGGTCGAGTGGTAGATAAGGAGAGAAAATCAATCGACGAGGTTGTGAAGCTACATTGATTGATATGGTTAAGACATGTGTTACGCATGCCTAGCCTAGCCATCGCCTTCCTCGACATAGGTTGGAAAAGAGTTAGTTAGTGGTGGTCAAACGAAAACATGGCCTCATCACTCAATGAAATCCACAACAGTTCGTTTAAACCAGCAGCCAGCCACATAAGGAGGTGTGGACTCCTTTCTGGTTGGTATGCTCGGGATGGTAAACACCAATGAAGGGGCTGGAGACAATCGGCGATATGGCTCAAAATCGTTCTCAATGGCTGGTGCAGATGCATCCACTCTTTGTGGTTTATAATATCCAATAAAATTTTATTGTTCTTCCATATTACTATTCTTTTTGCCTCACATTTCTGTTTTTTATATGCCTTTTGAACCTCCCTTTACTCTCTTCTCCTGCTTTGTGTGCTACAAGGAGGTAGTTTGGCAGGTGGAACTGCTGCACATCGGTGCAAAGTTCTATGTTAAAACCAGTCAGTCAACCACTTACATACTAGCTGAGAGACGTTTAATGAGTGCGTCTACCGGGAGTCGAACGCCGGAGCACTTGAGGCGTGGTTACTGTGTTTCTTCTACCACTGAACTGCCGATGCTCGTTGAGTGATATAAATAAGTTTTTAAATTGTCGCGTGTTTTTTTTGATTGGCCCCACCACACATTATTGTTCACCTTTTTTACTTTTATTGTCATAACCTAGAAACAGTTCTGACCCACAAACAGTTATAGCGTTTGTATCTAAGGCTAATTCGACTTCACAGCTTTTTAGATTCCATTTGACATAATAATAATAATAATAATGGTGGTATGGAGCTGATTGGCATTTGATATTCAGCCAGTTGAACCCCTTGGCATAAATCTCTCACTACTACTTACCTTTGAACCACTAGGTAGTTTCAGTAGCCTGTTACCTACGCAGAAATGTATAGCTTATATATACACCTCATTAAAGTTAAGCTTATTACATTACTACTGACTTGTGATTAAACTGACGTGAGTGGAATGCAAAGATTAGCCATGAAGTACTTCCTGGTCAAATAATTTAATGAGGTGTGAATCTCCTTTCAAAGAAGTACTAACCTACGTGTTACTCTTTTTAGAGCAGATCCTTCAATATCGTTCTACTTTATATTGTCTTTATTGTGAGATATGAAAGTTAATGAAAAGTATATTTGATCTCAAGTGTTTTACGCCAATCTATTCTACTAGATAAATCAATGGCATCGGTCAGTATTTTGTCCTGACACCGCAACCCCCACCCCCCCCTCTATCTGGTGAACTTCACTAGTCACAACTTATCATTAGAACTGTGTTGTAGTCAGTCAGTCAATCACTCATGAGTATCAGATTAATTTTCAAGTATTAGTTTAAATAGAAATTTGATTGATTTCAATTTTGATCACAAATTAACTTTTAGTGGAAAGTTGTGATCACACAGCAGCGGGCTTCCACAAGGTTGGGCGTCGTGAAGACAAATACTCATCGATGATATATTGGTGAATTGGTAGAATTTAGAATTCATGGGTCAGACATTGGATTGATTTTGGTCCTATTGACTGAATAGTCAACGAGTTCGCCTAGAGTTCCTGGATTCTATCCCTGGTGAGGTTATGGGTGCGTACTGCTGAAGTGTTCCAAACAGGGATGAAATAGCTGTACACTACTCTCTGGTTTTCAATGATTCTCTAACTGATATCAATCCGTTGTCAAACTCGTAAAAATAAACAGAGTAACAAAAGTGATTATAATTCACGACATCATTTATGCATTACAGGCAAAGTTCATTAACATATAATACTATATTTTCTAGTGACCGGCATAAAAAGCTACACCTCTGTTTCTCCCCATTGATCCAAGCAAGTTGTTACATGTGTAAATAAACTAAATAGCGTAAAGTAATAGTATATACTCCACTGTGTGGATGTGCGTAGACTGATAGAATTCAGTCTGCACCAAAGAAAGGACTAGACACATCACACTAGTTACTGACTAGTGTCCAATCAAAATATCCACTACAGTCCTACAGGAGGTCAATCGCGAGCCTGAATAGCTCAGTGGTAACGTCTCTGACTCCATGTGGTACTGGGTGATGCGGGTTCGAATCCAGAAGGGCCATGAGTTCCTTCAAGGTTGCAGGTACGACTGGTGAGTGTCAACGAGCACAAAACCTAGGTGCCGGCAAGGTTTCCTGTGGCCGATTGCCTCCAACCATCTAATATCATCAAATGAATGTGCACCGTGATGGCGAGCTAACTAGAATGCTGGCCACATTGCAAACCTGACTGATATACTTTAGTCTGCACCAAAGAAAGGACTAGACACATCACACTAGTTGCTAGTGTCCAATCACAGTACACACTTTGGTTATTGAGAATGTTAAGGACAGAGATAACACTAGGATTACATCACAAACACGTGAACACGTAAATAAATATTATTATTATGTATATATTTTTAGATAGTCTTCTGCAAAATTATATTGTAACTTCATTTCCAGGTAATAAGTTCAGGATACAGTTTTAATTTGGTCTTCATCGGTTATTTCACTGAAGCTGTTTGTTAGTGAAGTATAACAGATGTCATGCTGAAACGTGCTAATTTCTTCCGCGTAAATAACCACACCACACCTCTCCTTGTATAATTTCACTGTTAATCTGTCTCTTTCTCTATCTCTCTCTCTCTCGCGCGCGCTTTTATCAATTTAGGTACGGTCAAAGAACTTGTCCCGTATACAGCTCCAATTCAACAAAATCCACGTACACGAATATTCCGAAAGTATCCTTTCAAAGCAACCCAACCAACCGGTACAACAGAGGATACAAAAATTCAGTCTACAGTCAGTAGTAGTAGTGCATCAACTGCTAAATCCTCAGAACAGACTAATTCAACTAATCATGAGTTTCCTAGTACTCCAGTATCTGATTTATTGAGTAATAATACTTCCTCGTCTTCTCATGCTTCAAAACAACGTAAACATCATCGTACACGTAAAGAGATATCGAATGATACAACTTCAAGTGGCGGCGGTGGTGGTACTGGTACTCAACAATCCGCTAAATCAAATTAGTAGCAGCACTAGATTTAGTAGTAGTCACAGCAGCCCTTCTCTCTGCAGTTATGCATATATTATAATGTTCATCTATCTTGAAGGAGTATTCTACACACAAGCCTTCAGTGTAAAACGATAACTCTTCCACCGCTCGGTTCTTCTTCTTTCTTGAGGCTTTGTATACTACTAAGCTGGATGTGTATGTGTGTGTAGCAGGTTGTGGATATCCTCCGCACCCCTCCAACTCCATTGCAGTTGTTATGCATAAACACATATATTTGTTTACTTTTTGAATTAACTACTTATAATCAATTAAAGTAGTTTATTTCTGTTCACTTCAATTGTTGTGTTGAATCATTCAGCGATGTTAACACATCAACTGCTTTCTTCTTGGTTAGTTCATTTCGTTTTACTTTTCATTTCTGTTGGTCTGCTTTAAATCATTGTTAAAATTACCTGGTTATGTCATTATTAAACATGTGTATCTTTATTTTCTTTTGATACTCGAAATTTTGTTTTTGTCATTGTTCTGACTCCTCACATAACTACTTGGTTTGCTCACATGTTTCTGTGTGTGTGTCTGTCTGTCTGTCTGTCTGCCGTTTACATGAGCATGCACAATGTTTACAAACAGACTTTTTGTTGTTTCATCTTTCCCCCTGCCAAGTTAATAATAATTAATAATATTGCCTTTTTGCTGTACCGCGAAAAAGGAAGTTATATCTACCGTCACCCCCCCCCCCTTTGTGTGTGTGTAATTGTTTGTGTACATATGTAAAGAATTGGAATATTCTTGCATTATATATATATATATATTTGAGAAAATAATAATAAATATACATATGAACATCCTAGAATGCTTCACGATCTATGGATCTGTGATAGGATATTTGTTTTGTTTTCCTTCGAAGTACTCCTTCTTTCCCCTTTTAGGTTTTAACTCCTCCTCCTCCTGCTGAGTAGGTGTGAATTTCTGGATGCTATCACCAAGATTTCGAATAGTGTTAAAGCCTACATCGGCTTAACTTCACCAATTTCAACAAACAAGTCTTGTTAATAGTCTTTGCGGCAGTAACTGTTGTTTTTTCATAGTCATAGGCAGCAGTAACAGGCCTCAGAGGTACACATCTAAGATTGTGTCTTCATTATTGTTCCATGTTAGTAGTTGTAGTATATGTATGGCTTATTAATATACTAATAACCTAGTGGTGCTCATTCAAATTGGAGTATTTTGGGTGGGGATGGTGTGCCCACTCTACTTCTGGTACTCTTCATTTATGCGCGGGGTGTCGGGGGTGGAGTTCGCAGCAGTCTAACATTTTCTGTATGCGATTTCATTGCTTTTTTTTAAAATTATTTCCGTGGATATTTTAGATGTTTTGAGGTTTTTTTCCCAGTCACCTTCAACTTTTTATCATCATTTATACTCGGTAAGATGGTGATCAGTTTTGTATCTGCATTGTTTGTATTCACCTCAGAATATTCTAGTAGTGCATTTCCATTGTCAATTGGTATGATTTTATTTAATGATCGCATTTTGTAAAGTATTCGTTTAGATGGTAGAATGTTTTTCTTTTGAGTATATATACTATGTGGCGGCGTGTGCTGCAAGTGATCAGAATTCTTTATTGAGTGTATAACATCTTTCATATTTTTCTGTTTTTGTTCAATCGACTTGTTTATTATCACTGGGGGTAGATTTGAATACGAAGATTTGAGATTTAGCGGTATTTGATGGTCGCATCGTTGTCTATGTGTAAACTTAGATGAACTTTTGCCTATCCGATCAACTGATTTCTGTGGAATAAAATCATTTAAATCATTCTGTTGACATCTTATATAATAATATCTAGTTGATTTGTATTCTTCTAATTGTGTTAATAGCTCTAAACGTTTCAGTATGATTAACTGATCAAGAAATTGTTCTTCGTCTTGTTCAAAAATATTTCTTACATGTAATCCTCTAGAGATGAGAAGATCACCTTTCCAATCTATCCCGTGTAAGATTAAATCAGTTAAAGAAAGATACTTTTTCAGTTTATTCTGTACATTATTCATTATTATAGCAGGTTGATTTTGATCAACATGATGAGAGTTTATTGTTGTGGCTTTTGAAAGTTTTCGTGTCAAAGTGCTAACAGGGTTAGAAAATAAATTATTTTTCTCATTATTATTATTAGTATTATTATTGTTATTACTACTACTATTGTTTTTATTATCTTCGTTATCATCTTGATTTCTCTTAGATTCTTCACCTTCATTCATGTTTTCATCCCAAGTCCATATGATTAACTCATCAAGATTATCATCATCTCCAGTGTTGGGATAAGTGTAGAGTCGATACGCGGCAGTAGCATACATTTTTACCAACTTTTCTGGTGTATTTATTCTTTGTGATAGTGATTCCTGTGAGATTTGATGTGTTCGATTTTTTAATTCAGTAGTAGGTTTAATCGTAGTAGTAGGTAGTATCGAAGTATTTTGGCAAAAGTCATACATTTTTCCATATGGTAATTGTATTTGCTTTCTAATACAGCTTAATGACTTTGTTAATCGCCTGCCTAATCGATTATTACGATTCTGCTTAAAACCCAATTTTGTTGTTGTCCTTGACCTATGCCTTTTTCGAATACGTAGAATAAAGTAAGCCGATTTATCTAATGGCTTGCTTAGCAAACGAGCTGCTTTAAGCCAACTCTTGCTGTCAATATTATTATTACCCAGCTTGTTAGCAGTTTGATAATTCAATCTAGGCCGGTCAACGCGTTGATTTATATCACAATCCAATTGACTTTCTAATTCGATTTGTAAATCTCTATACAACATTTTAGTTTGTTCTGTTGTTGGCTGTAACACTTCAGTCATTAGTTTATCTCTTATGGATGGCTTGAATGTACTACTATTCATCAAAAAGTTGTAATAATAATAATTATCTTTGATAAGTATTGGAGGTGCTGATGATATTGTTGGCTGGATGATGATAGTGGATAAATGTTTTGAAGGCATAGACTGTCTCATAGATGATTGTAATGATAATAAATTGTTACGGGTAGGCAGTTTTTTCAACGCTCTACTCATCATCGTCATCATTCTTGGTGTCTTATTGAATATTTCAGCCTGTGGATTATCTTCATCAGTTAATGTGGTGGTTTTGTTGACGATTATTTCACTTTTTGCTATCATCAAAGGATGAATATTATTAGAATATTCGATTCTGTTTAAAATTGAAACATCTTTCCCACCATTTTGTTTCATTAATTTAGGCGTTGTCAAACTTAATAATACAGTATCATCATCATCCATGTTTGACTCAATAGTGTATTGATCTGAATCAATTTCTCGATATGTTATCATTAGATTTTGTGAACCACACCTATGCTGTGGTGATTGTGATGTCATCTCAACATGGTTGTGTTTGTCTTCTACGACTTCATCTTTCTGAATTTCGTCGTCATCATTGTGTACCTTTGCTTCATTAGTTCTATCTCTCTGAAGTTCACTATCACTTGGTTTCTGTAAGAGATTAGGCATATTGATGGTGGGGTATGTTTTTATTTGCCTATCTGATGCAGCATTTCTATCGACATTGTTTTGCTGACTATTTTTCCTTCCCCAGAATAATAGCATACATATTCCTTGTGTACAATCAGACCAACCCATTGATGAAATTATCAACAATTATGTACAGGATACATTGTGTTATCGCTGTTTATGTGTGTATGCATATATATCAGAGTAGATGGATAGCTAGCTACATAGTGAATAGCATTTTCTTTCAAATCTTATTATAGTCACGTGATTGTTTCATATTGGATCGATTGCGCCTTTTATTTAGCATGACACAATCGAATGATTATTATTATCATTATTCCCTTGGGTTCCGAGTGGAACATACGGCTTCAACAAAACATCTCCACTTTCTTCTATTCTCTGCTATCCTCTTCATCTGGGTCCATGATCACGCATAATCTCTCATCTCCTCCATGTCACACTGTATGTGACGACCAACTCGTCGCTTTCCACTTGAATTCCACTCGAGCGACAGCCTGTATTGCTCACGATGTCATTCGACAGCCTCCTCAATGTATGCCCAACCGATACATCTCCATTTTCTCCTACATATTTATTGAGCAAGAGGCTCTTGTCTGTTGGTTTTTTCCAAGTCAGAGCTTCTTGTTACTAATTCTTTCTGGCCGGCCGGTCAACCGTCCATTCGATCATCAGTATGGAGCCAGCCAGCGAAGGTGGCAGCTGTCGATAAAAGTCTGCAACAGGCAGTCGGAAATGCTTTTCGTGACATGCTGACCCGTATAGACTGACTTCACATGTGTTGAAAATCTGAATCTTATTCTTTCCAAACTGGTTTCAGGATGATGAAGGCGGGTCTTGACTTTCCCATTCTGGCTGGTGTTGACATCCTCATCCGTTCCGCCTACCTCTAATTGAAACGATGCCTCCTAGATAAGTGAAGGAAGCAAACTTTGTCGAATCTCTCCTGTTGATGGTGATTCGTGCTGGTTGTTGTTGCTGTTCGTTGGTTATCTTTATCACCTCCGTCTTCTCTATGTTCACCTGAAGTCCTGTCTTCGCTGCCAGCCAGCTTGTTGCTCTTCGCCTGCAAATCTCCGAGTTTGTGTGATATTAAACACAAATCATCCACTCACGAAATCCACATCTAGAGTTTTTTTCGTCGGTGGTCCAGCGTACTGCTGTCTCTTCGTTCCCCACAGTCTGACGCATAATCCAGTCCATCACAATTGAGAATATCACCGTGGAGGATAATAGACAACCAGCCTTCTCTTATTTCTGTATTCGCTGAGGTTTCCGTTTTTGGTCACCTGGCTGACACGTGGCATTGTCATATGGCCAGCTGTTGAATGAGATTGATAAGGACTTGGGCACTGCACGCGTAGTGTTGAAGTAGTTTCCAAATTACTTCTCGGTCAACGCTGTTTGTCGAGAAGCCTTTTCGCTGTTGATGAATTTGAGATGGAGTGAGTTTTGACTGCCATTCTATGCTTTGTTCTGTGATGACGATGCATAGAGTCATAGTTTGACCAGCACATGATTTGCCTTCCCTAAATCAACCTTGTTCTAGGTGGTGGGGCGGAGTTCTTTGCATCCTCTCTCCAGGATGATGCGACTTAGTGTTTTACTTGGGGTGGACAAGGGCATTATTCCACGCCAGTTCTTGCAGAGGCCTTCTTTGGTAGCTTGACAAGATAGCATTTCTTCCAGTCGGTAGGTACCTTTCCTTCCTTCCAAACATTTTTCAACAAAGGCGTGAGAACATCTACCGCAGTCTCTGGGTTTGTTTTCAGTGCTTCGGTGCGGTGGGGGAATTCCGTCTGGTCCTGCCACCTTCCCAGCTGGCCAGTGTTCAGTAGCTTGGTCGCATTCAGGATTTCTGCTTTCGTTGGAGGATTGGTGTCCACTGGCAGGCAGTTGTGTGCGTGCTGTCTGTTTGTGGTGGTGTATTTCTTGGTGAGTTGCAGGCGGTGGTCAATTGAAGAGTCTTTTAAAGTGATTGTTTTATCTGTTTCTCCTCCTTGGTGATCAGGTTCCCTTGAACGTCTTTTATTGGTTTCATCATCTGGGTTGATCTCTTCCCGGCTAGCGATCGACCTGATGCCTATCTGATATAATGTCCTGAGGTCTCTTTTACTTGCAGCCTGCCTGTTCTGCTTCAATTGCCAGTCAGTGTGTCGTAGAATTGTCTTTTGTCTTTCCTAACACTTCACTGCTTTATTCAGCGCAGTGTACATCGAACTCAGCTTCTCCTTCTGTTGTTCATCTTGGCATTGAGTCATCTTCTCTTTCATCATCCCCCTGTCCTCTCCTCGATTAGCTCCCAGTTAGGTGTCCGTTGAGAGCCGTTCCTTGTCGTGTCTCTTCCTTGTTCCTAGAACAGTTGTTCACCTTTCCTTGAACATCATCTTCAGAGAGTTAGTTCCAATGTTTTTCCACACGGGTCTCCTCACTGATATCGCGTAGTGTCTCCCTCCGACTTTGATCTGTAGTGAAGGCATCTCTTGTAGTTTTGTCCTTCAGTTTCCGAATGTTGAACGTGAATTACAGTGGCCTGTCTCCGCTTTCAGCTTCACTTTGAAAGTTCCTTGAACTAGATGATGGTCTGAGCCTACATCTGCTCCCCTTCTTGACTTTGTGTCCAGCAGACTGGATGCGTCTCCACTTGCTTGAGCAGCATGGAGAGGAATTGTATCTGATTTGTGGTGTGTCCGTTAGGCGAAATCCATGTTGCTAGCCTTGTGCTTGTACACACTGTCTCCGATCACCAAATCATTGAAAGCACAGAAGTCTGCGAATATTTCTCTGTCTCATTCATTTCGCCAAAGCCTCTCGACCCTTGATGAGTTCTCTTCCTGTATTATCTGCTCGTCACTGGTGCTCTCTGTATTCCTATATGGATGTGAGAGCTGGACCCTGAATGCAGAGACAGAAAGAAGAATACAAGCCTTCGAAAACAAAAGCTATAGAAGGATCCTAGGAATAAGTTACCTTGAAAGGAAAACTAATGAATATGTCTTACACCAGGTCCATAGACTGGCAGGAAAACAGGAACCACTCCTTTCAATCGTAAAGAAACGGAAACTACAATGGTTCGGCCACACGGTAAGACATGACACATTGTCCAAAACGATTCTACAAGGCACAGTAGGAGGAGCACGAAAGAGAGGTCGACCGAATAAGAGCTGGCTTGACAACATAAAAGAGTGGACTGAAATGCCCTTGGATACGCTACAGAAAATAGCATTAAACCGAGAAGAATGGCGAAGACTGATAGCGCGAACTGTCATAGCACCCCCACGACGAAAGTCAAGGGACTGATGATGATGATGATGAGTTCACCTGGCATTCTATTCACACATAGGGATTTTGATGTCACCATTTGGAATGTTGTCCATCACTGTTTGTAGTTTTCTGTAGAATTCTTCCTTCTTTTCCACCGGTACCGCTTTGTTTGTAGCACTGTATTGGCATTGGATGATTGTGATTTTCATTCCTTCCTTTTGAGTTGAGTCCTGCTGTCATGATCTCGGATGAGAAGATTGGTTCCCATTGCATTAGGGTTTTGTCTGCCACTGGTGACATCATTACAACCACTCAGTGTGCTCGTGGTTGTCGTCTGTTTGACCAGACCGGAGTAGATTACTGACTGTCCAGTTGACAATTTTGATAATCCACATCCATTTGATCTGCCCTCGCAGATAGATACTCAGCACTTGTATGCCATATCTTCGCATTTCTTTGGCTAACTGGACAACTTTCCCAGCCAGCCTCATACATTGTACGCACATACCACATCCCAATTCTTATTCTTGCTTTCATCGAGGGAAGACACATCGGCTGGCTGACTGACTTCCCGAAGGCTGGCTTTCACCAGCCTGCTGTGTCATTTCGCATCTCCGATTCGAGCGAAGAATAAGATTGGTGTTTGAATTTTTAACATATTTCTTGTGCGTCGCAGTTTCTCTAGCAGTTTTAAAGCCTTTGTGATGTCGGGTCGTTGGCCCCATGGCCAGTCTTCCCTCTCTACCCGGTCTAGGAACCGGCTAGTAAACTAGGCCAGGTTAATCGAATGATAGTCGAATATAATTGCAATCAATAAGAAAACGACTGATTTTTGCTCAACTTGATTTCAAAGGTGATAAATTTTCATCAGAATGATACATCATAAAGGGTGATGTATAACACCGACAAGAATGTATCCTGTTGGTTGATACAGTCAATTCACGTGTATCTCTGTGGGAGAAATTGTATTGAGAAATGAAAGAAAGGGCCTAAGTGAGATTCCTTTAACATTATTACAAGTGCTGTCGACTAGATGGTAGAAAACATTTCGAATTAATCAGTCACCAAGCACACCTAACAGAGGACATAGGATACCAAGTAGAAGCACATAAATCAACCTCAAAAGTCTTCTTAAATTCACTGAGGCCATTACACAAGTTAAAGCAATGAAACCTGACTTATTTGTCCGAAAGAAATCTAGTTGAACCACCAGTTACCATGGTAACCACTCACCAGCTTAGTAGCTTTCTAGCTGTATCACACTGTGTTTTCTTCGTTTGGCTTGGTGTATTTCATTATGTAATACATCTGGCTATGCAATTGTTACTCACTTGTCAAACATTATTTTTAATTTTGCTACTGCTAACAATATTTCAGATGGCCGAGCAGACAGGATTAGCAACAGGGAACTCTACTGGCCAGAAAACCAGTCAAGTACCTATTGCATAATAAATATACCGAAGAAAATAGAGATAGACAGTTTAGATATACATGTTGAGGAGATCGTTGAGTTACTACTACGTGCATCAGTCAGAAACTCGAATGAGAAACCACAAGTTGGGCATGGGTTCGAGGTTGACTTAGAGGAGAATGTATGAGAAGGAGATGAGGTCTTATGGGCAATTGTGGAGCCAGTTAGAGACAATTGCAGAAAATAGGATGATTTGGAGATGCACTACCGAAGCTCTATTTTCTTCTAAGAACTTTACAATATTCCGTATTGCAGGATGGATTCTTTTTGATAGGCGAAAGTACTTTAGAATTGTATTATTATAACTTCGTTTATTAAATGTTACAGGTTGTAGGCAGCTTATGCGAATCTATGAAAATGAAATGTTTCTATGTTA